TATTATTTATAACATATATGTTATTAAATACATACAGTTAAAATAATACATGTTTTTAAATAATAACATGTACTATTATTATTTATAACATATATGTTTTTAAATACCACTGCCTCAACCACTGAATTATTGTGAAATGTTTGGAAGAGCAGGGAGACTAATGTTCACTCCAGCATAAACAAAGTCACACTGACGATGTGTCAACCACTCCCTCGTATTTTGTTTCAATTTTTCCCGCTTCAATTATATCGTATTTATTATTATTTATTATTATTATTATTATTTTTTTTTTTATTATTATTATCACACTGGCCGATTCCCACCAAGGCAGGGTGGCCCGAAAAAGAAAACTTCACCACATTCACTCCATCACTGTCTTGCCAGAGGGTGCTTTTACACTACAGTTTTTAAACTGCAACATTAACACCTCTCCTTCAGAGTGCAGGGACTGTACTTCCATCTCCAGGACTCAAGTCCGCCTGCCGGTTTCCCTGAACCCCTTCATAATGTTACTTTGCTCACCCCTCCAACAGCACGCAAGTATTAAAAACCATTTTTTCTCCATTCACTTCTATCAAACATGCTCATGCATACCTGCTGGAAGTCCAAGCCCCTCGCACACAAAACCTCCTTTACCCCCTCCCTCCAACCTTTCCTAGGCCGACCCCCACCCCGCCTTCCTTCCACTACAGACTGATACACTCTTGAAGTTATTCTGTTTCGCTCCATTCTCTCTACATGTCCGAACCACCTCAACAACCCTTCCTCAGCCCTCTGGGCAACAGTTTTGGTAATCCGCACCTCCTCCCTAACTTCCAAACTACGAATTCTCTGCATTATATTCACACCACACATTGCCCTCAGACATGACATCTCCACTGCCTCCAGCCTTCTCCTCGCTGCAACATTCATTCACCCATGCTTCACACACCATATAAGAGCGTTGGTAAAACTATACTCTCATACATTCCCCTCTTTGCCTCCAAGGACAAAGTTCTTTGTCTCCACAGACTCCTAAGTGCACCACTCACTCTTTTTCACTCATCAATTCTATGATTCACCTCATCTTTCATAGACCCATCCGCTGACACGTCCACTCCCAAATATCTGAATACATTCACCTCCTCCATACTCTCTCCCTCCAATCTGATATTCAATCTTTCATCACCTAATCTTTTTGTTATCCTCATAACCTTACTCTTTCCTGTATTCACCTTTAATTTCTTCTTTTGCACACCCTACCAAATTCATCCACCAATCTCTGCAACTTCTCTCAGAATCTCCCAAGAGCACAGTGTCATCAGCAAAGAGCAGCTGTGACAACTCCCACTTTGTGTGTGATTCTTTATCTTTTAACTCCACGCCTCTTGCCAAGACCCTCGCATTTACTTCTCTTACAACCCCATCTATAAATATATTAAACAACCACGGTGACATCACACATCCTTGTCTAAGGCCTACTTTTACTGGGAAAAAATTTCCCTCTTTCCTACATACTCTAACTTGAGCCTCACTATCCTCGTAAAACTCTTCACTGCTTCAGTAACCTACCTCCTACACCATACACTTGCAACATCTGCCAACATTGCCCCCCTATCCACCCTGTCATACGCCTTTTCCAAATCCATAAAATGCCACAAAGACCTCTTTAGCCTTATCTAAATACTGTTCACTTATATGTTTCACTGTAAACACCTGGTCCACACACCCCCTACCTTTCCTAAAGCCTCCTTGTTCATCTGCTGTCCTATTCTCCGTCTTACTCTTAATTCTTTCAATAATAACTCTACCATACACTTTACAGTATACTCAGCAGACTTATCCCCCTATAATTTTTGCACTCTCTTTTATCCCCTTTGCTCTTTATACAAAGGAACTATGCATGCTCTCTGCCAATCCCTAGGTACCTTACCCTCTTCCATACATTTATTAAATAATTGCACCAACAACTCCAAAACTATATCCCCACCTGCTTTTAACATTTCTATCTTTATCCCATCAATCCCGGCTGCCTTACCCCTTTCATTTTACCTACTGCCTCACGAACTTCCCCCACACTCACAACTGGCTCTTCCTCACTCCTACAAGATGTTATTCCTCCTTGCCCTATACACGAAATCACAGCTTCCCTATCTTCATCAACATTTAACAATTCCTCAAAATATTCCCTCCATCTTCCCAATACCTCTAACTCTCCATTTAATAACTCTCCTCTCCTATTTTTAACTGACAAATCCATTTTGTTCTCTAGGCTTTCTTAACTTGTTAATCTCACTCCAAAACTTTTTCTTATTTTCAACAAAATTTGTTGATAACATCTCACCCACTCTCTCATTTGCTCTCTTTTTACATTGCTTCACCACTCTCTTAACCTCTCTCTTTTTCTCCATATACTCTTCCCTCCTTGCATCACTTCTACTTTGTAAAAACTTCTCATATGCTAACTTTTTCTCCCTTACTACTCTCTTTACATCATCATTCCACCAATCACTCCTCTTCCTCCCGCACCCACTTCCTGTAACCACAAACTTCTGCTGAACACTTTAACACTACATTTTTAAACCTACCCCATACCTCTTCGACCCCATTGCCTATGCTCTCATTAGCCCATCTATCCTCCAATAGCTGTTTATATCTTTCCCTAACTGCCTCCTCTTTAGTTATAAACCTTCACCTCTCTCTTCCCTGATGCTTCTATTCTCCTTGTATCCCATCTACCTTTTACTCTCAGTGTAGCTACAACTAGAAAGTGATCTGATATATCTGTGGCCCCTCTATAAACATGTACATCCTGAAGTCTACTCAACAGTCTTTTATCTACCAATACATAAACCAACAAACTACTGTCATTTCGCCCTACATCATATCTGTATACTTATTTATCCTCTTTTTCTCTAAAATATGTATTACCTATAACTAAACCCCTTTCTATACAAAGTTCAATCAAAGGGCTCCCATTATCATTTACACCTGGCACCCCAAACTTACCTACCACACCCTCTCTAAAAGTTTCTCCTACATTAGCATTCAGGTCCCCTACCACAATTACTCTCTCACTTGGTTCAAAGGCTCCTATACATTCACTTAACATCTCCCAAAATCTCTCTCTCTCCTCTGCATTCCTCTCTTCTCCAGGTGCATAACACGCTTATTATGACCCACTTCTCGCATCCAACCTTTACTTTAATCCACATAATTCTTGAATTTACACATTCATATTCTCTTTTCTCCTTCCATAACTGACTTCATTAACATTACTGCTACCCCTTCCTTTGCTCTAACTCTCTCAGATACTCCAGATTTAATCCCATTTATTTCCCCCCACTGAAACTCTCCTACCCCCTTCAGCTTTGTTTCGCTTAGGGCCAGGACATCCAACTTCTTTTCATTCATAACATCAGCAATCATCTGTTTCTTGTCATCCGCACTACATCCACGCACATTTAAGCATCCCAGTTTTATAAAGTTTTTCTTCTCTCTTTTTTAGTAAGTGTCTACAGGAGAAGGGGTTACTAGCCCATTGCTCCCAGCATTTTAGTCGCCTCATACGACACGCATGGCTTACGGAGGAAAGATTCTTTCCACTTCCCCATGGACAATAGAAGAAATAAAGAAGAACAAGAACTATTTAGAAAAAGGAGAAAAACCTAGATGTATGTATATATATATGCATGTGCGTGTCTGTGAAGTGTGACCAAAGTGTTAGTAGGAGTAGCAAGATATCCCTGTTATCTAGCGTGTTTATGAGACAGAAAAAGAAACCAGCAATCCTACCATCATGCAAAACAGTTACAGGTTTCTGTTTCACAGTCATCTGGCAGGACGGTAGTACTTCCCTGGGTGGTTGCTGTCTACCAACCTACTACCTTTATTTATTATTATTATTATTATTATTACTGTTGTTATTATTAGCAATAGCAGAAATGTTCGATTCTTTGCTGTGTTCAAGAGTCAACACATGATGTCACCGTCTAATATCTTTCCTAATAGCCATTCCAATATGCAGTCATGAATGGGTTTACATTATTTATACTGTAGTTTAATAGCAAATAATGAACAAACAAAACACTCACCACACTGAGTGGTGGGAGGGCTGGCTGCCAGTTGCGGGGGTCGGAGGGAGGGTAGTAGGGACTCGCAGTGGTGGAGGCATTGGTGGAGGCAGTGCTGGAGTCCGTGGTATTTAATAACATACATGTTATTAACATACATGTTATTAAATAACATACGTTATTAAAGCATAACATGTATATATTTAGTACAATTTACGACGTTTTCATGTATTTTATGATTATTCATGGTTCAACAAGTTAAGGAAGCAGTATTCTAATATATTTCCCTACAATATATTGGGGCACCAAACATTCACGGTTTTTCAACATTGGCGAGGCTCTTGATCCCCTAACCCTCGCGAATGTTGAGGGAGACCTGTACTGTATTTCTACTTATTTTACTTACCCTGCTCTTTTCTGCACTTCCAATTTTTTTTTACACACCCTTGCAAATTCCTATACTTATCATTGCAATTTTTCGTCTTCCTCTCAGTAGCACTGTCAACAACAAACAGCATTATCTCTTCCAACCCTCTTCTTTAAACATGATACATATACCTTTTCCATCTCTATAAATGTAATATCTATGAATGTAACAAGCAGCTTCTTTACCTTGTGGAAATGTAAACACATATGCAGTATAATGTGATCCTTTGTTGACAACATTTTGCCCACACAGTGGGCGAAACGTCGTCAATAAATGATCACATTATACTGCATGTGTATTTATATTTCAATTGTGTCGGTATTTTATACCATTTATTTCCTTCTTTACCTTGTATTACTATAAGTACTGCTCCCATATGTGCTTCATTGCAAGAACTTGGGCACCATATGTATCTCATTTCCTCAATAAGGCCCCTCACTTCTATGGTAAATAATACTGTTATGTCTTGCAGAAGGTGCTATATGATAAATGTACTTAAATTTTGTCTTCACCATTTGCAGACAGCATCTAACAAAGTATCACTGGTGTTGATTGACCGGACTTTGGATTTAGTAGTTGCTTCCAGTCATAGAGCCGAGCCTCTAATGGGACGGATATTGTCTCTCCTGCCACGACTCTATGATCATCAGCTGGATTCAGCAGTAAGCATGGCCCCTCTATGCAAGGTTCATCCGTGAGTAGATTTGCATTACAATTACTGTAATGACTTTAAAATCTTTAATATTTAGATGCAGGTTTTAGTTTTGAGTATCAAGTTAAAAATAATTTATATTTACCATTTTTGGTCCATCTAATGTTTAACAGATGGAGGATTGAACCTGCATCACTTATTATGCTGTGATGAATGGTTTTGAAAATCAAGTTGAAGAATTGAGACACTTATGCAACATATGGGAATTTTTATTGAAGAAACGTTTTGCCACACAGTGGCTTTATCAGTCCAATACAAAGTAGAAATGGGTAAGGAGAGGAGGAGATTGAGGTAATCAGTCCCTCAGCCTGGAATCAATGTGTTCAGTCCATTACCCTTGTAGGAAGTACAGCATAGAGCCAGAGAGGTGGCTTACATACTGCAGTCAAGCGAGTCAAAGCAGGAGGAGGCAGGATTACAGTGGGATCTTGGTACAAAGACTTCTTCAACGCTTGTCCAACCTTTGGACGACAACCTACTTACACTAGTGGAAGGTCCCACTGATCCCGCCTCCTCCTGCTTCGACTCGCCTGACTGCAGTATGTAAGCCACCTCTCTGTCCCTATGCTGTACTTCCTACAAGGGTGATGGACTGAACACATTGATTCTAGGCTGTGGGACTGATTGCCTCATTCTCCTCCTCTCCTTACCCATTTCTACTTTGTATTGGACTGATGAAGCCACTGTGTGGCAATACGTTTCTTCAGTAAAGATTCCCACATTTATTTATTTATTTATTTATTATAAATTTGTGCACACATACAGAGGTACAAAAAAAAAAATACAGATAAGAGCAGTATGCCAAAGCCACTTATACTATGCATAGCATTACGGGCTGGCTTAAAATTAACTTAAGATTAACTAAGCAAAGATGAAGTCAGTGATAAAACATTAATGTAAACAGATTACTATAAAGCACAAGTGAGTATTACAAAGACAGGTCATATGAAGGATTCTGTTAGGTAGTGTATTTAAAAAATAATAAAGTTAGATTCGGTTTTAGGTTTAACATTTATGTGATATAATTGTGAGAAACATTTAAGATATACAATTTATAAGGTTCAGTTATTCAGTATTTATTTGGTTTTGGGTGAGTAAGTGATCTTTGAGTAGAGACTTGAATTTATAAACAGGTAGTGTTTCTTTTATATTTACAGGTAATGAATTCCAGATTTTAGGGCCTTTTATGTGCATTGAGTTTTTGCATAGTGTGAGATGAACACGAGGAACGTCAAAGAGTGATCTGTGCCTTGTGTTATGGTCATGTGTTCTGTTGAGGTTGGCAAGGAGATGTTTGAGGGGAGGGTTAATATCAGAGTTAAGTGTTCTATGTATGTAATAGGTGCAGTAATAAGTATGGATGTTTTGCATGGTGAGTAGGTTGAGTGTATTGAATATTGGTGGAGTGTGCTGCCTGTAGTGAGAATTTGTTATCATTCTAACTGCAGCCTTTTGTTGGGTAATTAGTGGTCTGAGATGGTTAATTGTTGTTGAGCCCCATGCACAAATTCCATAGGTGAGATAGGGGTAAATAAGAGAGTGATATAGGGCCAGGAGGGCTGACTGTGGAACATAGTACCGTATCTTCGATAGTATGCCTACAGTCTTGGAAATTTTCTTAGAAATTTGTTGTATATGTGTATGAAATTTGAGTCTATTATCAAGGTGGATTCCTAAGAATTTTCCCTCTGTTAGCTTTGTGATAGGTGATCCGTTTATCATTATGTTAAGAGGGACATCTGTAGCTCTGTTACCAAACTGAATGAAGTAGGTTTTGTCAATGTTTAGTGTAAGTTTGTTAGTCCTCATCCAGGTAGATATTTTCTGTAAGCATATTGCATAAGTGTCTCAATTCTTCAACTTGTCGGTTTTCAAAACCATTCATCACATCTGTCAGACACTGCACCATCATGGGATCTTGGTACAAAGACTTCTTCGACGCTTGTCCAACCTTTGGACGACGACCTACTTACACTAGTGGAAGGTCCCACTTTGATCCTGCCTCCTCTTGCTTCAACTCACCTGACTGCAGTATATAAGCCACCTCTCTGGCTCTATGCTGTACTTCCTACAAGAGTGATAGACTGAACACATTGATTCCAGGCTGAGGGACTTATTACCTCAATCTCCTCCTCTCCTTACCCATTTCTGCTTTGTATTGGACCAATGAAGCCACTGTGTAGTGAAACGTTTCTTCAATAAAGAGTCCCATATGTTGCATAAGTGTCCCAATTCTTCAACTTATTATGCTGAATGACCCACATAGGTTTGGTGCTTCACATAAATATAATACTGTAATTCATTATAATACCTTCAGTTTTTTCTTTAGATTAAGAATAATAATATGTGAAAAATACACTCTGAGCATTTCAAATGTTGATTATTGCCACCTTTTCCAAGAGGTGGCTTGGGCCGGGCAATTATACCAGCGAATCTATAACAACAACATCCACATTATCCAGTACGTATTAAATACGTAGTTATACAGTGAAAGACTAAATTATTTGCTGGCTCTATGACGCTTATCAGTAAGTAATTATTACCTAATTATGATTTATAGTTCTCTCAAGAAAGCATTCAAATAATGAAACATAAATGTTTTGTTTAGATTAAAATGAAGATAATAATACTCTCTATGGATATGGAGGGCAGTGTGGAAAAATTCCAATTGAGAATTTTTCAGAAATGGGAATGCTTTCCAAAATAATGAATTAAGAATGATCTTAAGAAATTTGGATTATTTTTTAAATGTTACAACAACAAAAATCTAGATTTCATTTTAGATAGTAGAGAATGGCATGAGTCAACAAGTGGAGCTCTATCAGTCATCCCTGTATGCTCATAGAGCTCTATGTTCCTAGAGCTCTCACAAAACTAGAAACCATAAGTGATACAAAATTAAATTTTCAAAGCAAAGGATTGAGAATGTTGCATGTCAAGTGGGTCTTCAGGCAAGGCAGCACTTGGATGAATGATGGCAGATGTGTTTCTTTTTTTGGGTCACCCTACCCTGTTCAGAGACATCCAGTGTTAAAAGAGGATTGATTGAGATTTGGGTTCATTTTGTTTCAAGAGACCATGCCTCTTAAGCTGTATATATCTCTAATATTGTTAAAACTGACATTCATTAGAAATAATAATCAAATTGAAAGGAGGTTTCAGTGTGGGAAGCTATTTGAACCAGAAAAAAAATTGAAAATTTAATCTGTTCACTGGTTGTCCATCAGTAGAAAGTTGGATAATCACAATTCATGAATGCAGAAGCTTGATAATTTGTAGGGACAACTGTATGTGATAAAGCCCCAATATATGCAAAACATAAAATAAAGGTTTTTCTGGCTGAAAGTGACTTTGATTTATCTTCTGCTCAGCAAATATTTCCTGTCTGGATAGTGTTCATTCAAATGAGTTTTTTCCCTCAACATGCCAGCTGTCTGTCTGATTTTTATTACTGTACTACATTTGTAATTTTCTATAAGTTGGACACCCCTTTGCCTTTATTATGGGGTTGAGAATAGGAGAGGTAGTGCTACAGTTTCTCTGTTGGTGCTGTTGGTAATTTTTTTTGTGTTTCTGATAGTGAACATTCTTTCTTTCTTTCAATGCACCAACCATATCCCACTGAGGCGGGGTGGCCCAAAAGACAAAACGGAAGTTTCTCCTTTTAAATTTAGTAATATATACAGGAGAATGGGTTATAGTGAACATTTGTTTACTTTTTTATTATACTCTCTTGATGTATGTTGAACACAGTTAAATACAGACTTTTTTCCGCAGGTCGAGTGAGTGGACGCTGGTTCCAGGATGCCTTGCCCCACAAGGAAAAGAAATTCGAGCATCAGCTGTGCTCAACTCCTTAGTAATGTCATCAGGAAAAGAAGCTCTCTCTCTTATAAATAAATATGTAAGTGTCCTCAGGAAATACAGGTCTCCCTCAACATTCGCGTTTTCAACTTTCGCGGGCTTCACACATTCGCGAATTCCCAACCGCCAAATTCCCAGCCTCCAAATCATATTTAAGTTTACTGCCACGAGTCCTTACTACCCTCCCTCCAACCCCTGCAACTGGCAGCCAGCCCTCCCACCACTGTGTGGTGAGTGTTTTGTTTGTTCATTATTTGCTATTAAACTACAGTATAAATAATGTAAACCCATTCATGACTGCATATTAGAATGGCTATTCGGACAGGTATTGGAAGGTGACATCATGTGTTTACTCTTGAACACAGCAAAGAATCAAACATTTGTGCTACTGCTAATAATAATAATAATAAAATAATAATAATAATATAATAAAAATAATATAATAAAAATAATAATAATATAAAATAATATAATAAAAATAATAATAATAATAATAATAATAATAATAATAAATACGATAGAATTGAAGAAGGAAATTGTACAAAAATATGAGGGTTGAAGCAGTGGTGGAGGAAGTGGTTGACGCAGCCTCAGTGTGGCTTTGTTTATGCTGGAGTGAGTATTAGTCCTCCGTGCTCTTCCAAACATTTCACAATAATTCATTGTATTTGGTGCTTGTAGATTGAGTGTGACTGGAGTGGTTGAGGCAGTGTTAGAGGCAGTGATAGAGGCAGTGGTAGAGGCAGTGATAGAGGCAGTGATAGAGGCAGTGGTAGAGGCAGTGATAGAGGCAGTGATAGAGGCAGTGGTAGAGGAAGTGATAGAGGCAGTGGTAGAGGCAGTGGTAGAGGCAGTGATAGAGGCAGTGATAGAGGCAGTGATAAGGCAGTGGTAGAGGCAGTGGTAGAGGCAGTGGTAGAGGCAGTGGTAGAGGCAGTGGTAGAGGCAGTGGTTGAGGCAGTGGTAGAGGCAGTGATAGAGGCAGTGGTAGAGGCAGTGATAGAGGCAGTGATAGAGGCAGTGGTAGAGGAAGTGATAGAGGCAGTGGTAGAGGCAGTGTAGAGGCAGTGGTAGAGGCAGTTATAGAGCAGGGTAGAGGAAGTGGTAGAGGCAGTGGTAGAGGCAGTGGTAGAGGCAGTGGTAGAGGCAGTGGTAGAGGCAGTTATAGAGGCAGTGGTAGAGGCAGTGGTAGAGGCAGTGATAGAGGCAGTGGTAGAGGCAGTGGTAGAGGCAGTGGTAGAGGCAGTGGTAGAGGCAGTTGTAGAGGCAGTGGTAGAGGCAGTGGTAGAGGCAGTGGTAGAGGCAGTTATAGAGGCAGTTATAGAGGCAGTGTAGAGGCAGTGGTAGAGGCAGTGGTAGAGGCAGTGGTAGAGGCAGTGGTAGAGGCAGTGGTAGAGGCAGTGGTAGAGGCAGTGGTAGAGGCAGTTGTAGAGGCAGTTGTAGAGGCAGTGGTAGAGGCAGTGGTAGAGGCAGTGGTAGAGGCAGTGATAGAGGCAGTGATAGAGGCAGTGGTAGAGGCAGTGATAGAGGCAGTGGTAGAGGCAGTGGTAGAGGCAGTGGTAGAGGCAGTGGTAGAGGCAGTGGTAGAGGCAGTGGTAGAGGCAGTGATAGAGGCAGTGGTAGAGGCTGTGATAGAGGCAGTGATAGAGGCAGTGCCTCTATCACTGCCTCTATAACTGCCTCTATCACTGCCTCTACCACTGCCTCAACCACTCCAGTCACACTCAATCTACAAGCACCAAATACAATGAATTATTGTGAAATGTTTGGAAGAGCACGGAGACTAATACTCACTCCAGCATAAACAAAGCCACACTGAGGCTGCGTCAACCACTTCCTCCACCACTGCTTCAGCCCTCATATTTTTGTACAATTTCCTTCTTCAATTCTATCGTATTTATTATTATTATATTATTATTATTATTATTATATTATTATTATTATTATTATTATTATTATTATTATTATTATTATTATTCTTTCTTTCTTTCAACACACTGGCCGTATCCCACCGAGGCGGGGTGGCCCAAAAGGAAAACGAAAGTTTCTCCTTTTACATTTAGTAATATATACAGGAGAAGGGGTTACTAGCTCCTTGCTCCCGGCATTTTAGTCGCCTCTTACAACACGCATGGCTTACGGAGGAAGAATTCTGTTCCACTTCCCCATGGAGGATTATTATTATTATTATTATATTATTATTTATTATTATTATATTATTTATTATTATTATTATATTATTATTAATTTATTATTATAATATTATTATATTATTATTATTATATTATTATTATTATTAGCAGTAGCAGAAATGTTTGATTCTTTGCTGTGTTCAAGAGTAAACACATGATGTCACCGTCCAATACCTGTCTGAATAGCCATTCTAGTATGCAGTCATGGATCGGTTTACATTATTTATACTGTAGTTTAATAGCAAATAATGAACAAACAAAACACTCACCACACAGTGGTGGGAGGGCTGGCTGCCAGTTGTGGGGGGTCGGAGGGAGGGTAGTAGGGACTCGCAGTGGTTGAGACTGGTATTTAATAAATAACATACATGTTATTAAGGCATAACGTATGTATTTAGTACAATTTATGACATTTTCACGTACTTTATGATTGTTCATGGTTGGACAAGTTAAGGAACCAGCATTGTATTATATTTCCCTACAATATATTGGGGCACCAAACATTCACGGTTTTTCAACATTTACGAGGCTCTTGATCCCCTAACCCTCGCGAATGTTGAGGAAGACCTGTAGTTCAAAGAATTTTGTGCAATATTTCAGGATATACATGTGCAGTGTAGCATGTCAGGGGTTCCAGTTTGTATAGATGTCTAGGGCTTCTTGTCTGTGCCTTTCTTGAATATTACTACAGTAATAAATTTGCAGTTTTCAATTTTTTTAGCATCTCTTCTGTCTCTTATATTGTATTTCTTTTTTGTCAAAATTGGATGCTTTAAAAAATAAGGTCCTCCATGGGAAAGTGGAGAGGAATCCTTCCTCCATAAGCCATGCATGTCCTAAGAGGGGACTAAAATGCCAGGAGCAAGGGTCTAATAATCTCCTTCTCCTGTATAAATTACTGAGTGTAAAAGGAAGAAAAACATGTTTCTTCTTTTTCAGGTCACCCTGCCTCAGTAGGAGATGGCCAGTGTGTTAAAAAAAAAAAAATGCGGTCTACTCAAAATTTAGGAATACAGTAGTCCCTCAATTATCGTCCTTAATCCATTCCTGCAAGTGGGACTATTATCGAAATAGAGAATTTTTTAATCAATTTTCCCCATAAGAAATAATGTAAATACAATTAATTCGTTCCTGACACGCAGAAGTATTAAAACAAAAAAATTTTTTACATGAAATATAGATGTAGTGCATAAACAATACAATGGGACATGATAAATGAAACATTAACAGCATAACACTTACCTTTATTGGTGATTCTTCCTAGTGTATGGAAGACTGGAGGAGGAAATCCCCACTAGCATTAGCACAGAACATGAGCATCAGCCTGTCTTTCATAGGCTTGTGTCCTGGCAGTGCCTTTTCTTCCTGAGTAATGTAGGTCCTCTTTGGCATTTTCTTCCAAAAGAGGCCTGTTTTGTCACAATTGAACACTTGTTCAGGTTTCAGTCCTTCAGCCTCTATGTACTCCTTGAATTCCTGCACATATTTTTCAGCTGCTTTTTGGTCCGAACTGGCAGCCTCACCATGCCTTACCACACTGTGTATGCCAGTACGCTTCTTAAATCTCTCAAACCAGCCTTTGCTGGCCTTAAATTCACTCGCATCACCACTAGTTGCAGGCAATTTCTTTACCAGATCGTTGTGCAACTGCCTAGCCTTTTCACAAATAATCGACGCCATAAGACTATCTCCTGCTAATTGTTTCTTGTTTATCCACACCAATAATAACTTCTCAACATCTTCGAGTACTGGTGATCTCATTTTTGTCAGCATATTTACCCCCTTTGCAACAACAGCTTTCTTGATTTCCTTTTTCTTGGCTATGATAGAAGATATGGTTGTATGGGATTTGTTATACATCCTGGCCAGTTCGCCCACACGTACGCCACTATCATATTGTTCAATGATGTTTTTCTTAAATTCAATCATATTTCTCACCTTCTTTACCAAAGGCTTGGCACTAGGAGCTTTCTTTGGAGCCATGGTAGCTTATTTAGCACTTGCAAGCACTAAAATGAATGGAATATGAAATATTTCGTATGAACACGTGAGGGGACCGTCGCTCACTGGTAAACAATGGCACACAGGCTGGGAAGGGAGGATGACGTGGCTCAGAGCCATGGCTCAGAGCCGTGAGTACGCGTCCAGGACGAAAGACAATTAGCAAGTTAACGGACCATTTGCAAGCCAATGTTTAGACGAAATAATGCGACTATTTCCGAAATGGACGACTTTCAGGCCGGACGATTGTTGAGGGACCACTGTATTTCCCTTTATCAAATCCTGTTTTAATAAGAGAATAAACATTAAAAGTACAGTAAGTCCTCACTTAACATTGTCGATAGGTTCCTGGAAACTGCAACTTTAAGCAGAACAGCATGTAACAAAACCAATTTTACCATAGTCTAATTGATATAAACAAGAGTTAAGTTCCTGTGGAATGTTTCTGGTCACAAAAGCATCATCACACTTCTAAGTATTAAACATTGAAATAAATGTGAGCTATACTGTACATACATTTAACCCTTTGACTGTCGAAAGGGCCCAATCCTGAAGTGTCTCCTGGTGTCACAAAATATTCGAAAAAAAAAAAATTATTTTTTCTTATGAAAATGTTAAGATTATTTTTCTGATTGTTTTAGTCCCCCCAAAAAAATTTTCCCATCAGTACTTACCGAGATATAGAGGCATGAAGTTTGCAGAAAATGAGCCACGTATGGCAACAGCGGCAACTGCCGCTCACCGCTCACTGGTAAACTTTGGTTTACTTGTATTTGAAGGTTTGTTGTTTTTTTTCACTAATCTCCAGCTAGCGTGGCCGTGACGAACTCTAGCTCAAGCTAGAGTT